CCTTCACATATTCTTACTGCTCAATTCCACTCGCTCTTATAAAATATACAATTTCGCCTATTCTACCAGAAACGGAAATCCCAGAAACCGCGTATATCATCAAAGAATTTTTTTGATACGCTTAAGGGTGTGGTCGAGTTGCCACTACGAATGCTTCGAAACATTTTTTGATTGGTCAATTGGTAAAATTCTTTCTCCCAATTGGTTAATCAATCATTCGTAGCGACAACTCGACCGCACCCAGTGTCATTAGAAATCAACCAATCACAGTCAATTATTCTTCTTATATTCATCTGTGATTGGCCAATATTTTACGACTTAAAGTTTAACTACTGTGTTTCCGAACTTAAGAGTTTGTAAAAAATTCCCTAAGTTCTCATCCAATGGCGGCAAATTTCCGGCAACGTGTCACTAAACGTATTCCGAAATTATAGTCCTGCAGACAGATTCAGTTTGGTTTCTAGACTCGAGTGGCTGTACCGTCTTGTACTTCGCGTACTGTGATCTGTAATTGTTTCGTTATGGCTGATACGAGCCTAAGCTTGGACGATATAATTAAAAAGAAATCATTAGGAATGAGAGGCAGAGGAGGGTAAGGCAAATTCACTTAATTATCCGATGGAATTCTCGCCAACTTCATAGCGAGAGTTACATATTTATAACCTTGACGATCGTGCTTTCTTTTATTGACAGAAGTCTGTGTGTGTGATGAAAATCTTTTCTTAAATTTTCATTCTTCAGATATCTTTAGTTCACAATCCCGTTTTCATGAAGTCGCTCGAATAAATTGGCGTGCGCGAGTAAATTATTCGTAGCCGTGAATAGCTCGGAAATTTGGAGCAAAATCTACTTGATTGTTCTTTTTAATGATACCACAGTACCATATCTGGCTTGGTTGATAAAAACTGCTCCGCTATTTTCTAAAGAAGTCATGTAAGAAGACACGTTCGTTAATTTTTCCGCAGTATTGTCTTTTATTACTGTAATAAATAAAAAAAGTCAGAAGATTTACATTGTGTAATTGTGCAGGATACGCAGGGGTGTCCCTAACAGAGGAGCACGAGCAAACGGTTCTGTGAGGGGACGTGGCTCATCACAGGTGATCAGAGATGCACGATTTAAAATAATACAGAAAAACCGAGAGAAGCTGACCGACGCCAGGGACAAGCTCGCCGAGATAGCGAAGCAGAGCGATGCACGACTTAAGCTAGATAAGATTCGTGCGTCTCATTACAAGAAGATAGATACTCAGCTTCCAGGCATTTCACGCAAGACTGGCCGAAACGGCAGATTGTCATTGTCGACGAATAAAATGCCGTCTTTGATGCAGCACGTGTTACCATCTAATATACCAACCAATTATATGCAACCTTCCACGAGAACGGTTGGATATAGACCACCTCTCGCCGAGCCTTATATAGGAGAAATGAATATGGATTATACTGATGGTACGTGAAATATAATGTAGATATATTAAGAAATACATATCTCACTCATTTGCTACTGCAGCAACATAAGTAAAGTCTCATTTTTTAGTTAATTGTAGAAAAAAAATTGGAAACATATAGAAAAAAAGAAATGTACTTTTAAAAAAACAAACTTTTATATTCTTCTACAATCAGTTATTACATTAAAATTGTATTTTAAAATTAATATTTTAAAATTTTAATAATTCTAAATATTAAGATTAATTTGTTGAAAATTTATTTTCTGAATTGTATTGTCATTGTAGCAATATGTTTTATATCATTGTTTGTTTGAAATATGGTTATGTTTAGTTTGAATTATTTATGAATATATCATCTTAATTTTTTTAATTTCGTTTACTTTGATCTTATTTTAACTTGGTTTATTTTGATCTTTAACCTTATCTTGTATACCTTTTTAGAGATAATAAACTTATATTTTCTTTTGTTATTAATATATTTTATAATATTTTAAGATATATTTTAAAATATTTTATTGAAAATTATTGAAATAATATGTTAAAAAATATTAATATAAACTTATTCTTTTAGATTATCTGACGGATTCTCCTTCATTGAGGAGAACTGTGAGTAACGAGTATGCACCAACACCTCCACCTCCACCTCCTGTATTCAATATTAATCCGATTTCTCCTTATACTTGGGTGAAGTCTAGAAACACTAATGTTACTAGGATTCCAGCTCGAAAATCTGAGATAGAAAAGGAACGAGAGAGGCAAAGAGATTACAATAAACTCGCTGCACGCTCCGCGATGGTAAATAATGTCATCCTCTTTTATGTGAAATTTGTACAATTGCCATTCAATTTTATTTTTATTATTTTTTCTTTATCATAGGTAAAAACTGCTTTACCTTCTTATAAAGAAGATTGGAACTTTGGCACAAAATCAAGGTAATCATATCTTACAAAAATTAAAACATTAACTGATTGAAAAATCTACTATTTTGTATGATTTTGGTTGTAGAACAATTGTAGCAGAGGAAACAGCAGATTCCAAATACTACGATTCCAGAAATCTTCGAGAAGTAGGAATTAAGTCACGTCTTGATGCTTCTGGTAATAAGACAAGAACATTAAGCGTTTTATCGCGGCCAAAAGCAAGTTCCAGTTCATCGGCGCAATCGAATGGCTATCGAATTGTAGTATCCAACTTGCAAGCCAACGTCACGCAAGAAGATATTAAGGTGCAGTAAAATAAAGAACTTATTTCTAAAAGATTTCACATTTGCTGTAAAATGTTGAAAAAAAAAAAGAATCTTTGCACCGTATAGGAATTATTCGAAGATGTTGGAGAACTGCTCGTATCGAGACTAGTTCGTCCAGGTACAGCGGAAGTAATCTACAAAACACTAAAGGATGCAACTAAAGCAGTTGAGACTTATCATAATCGACAACTAGATGGTCATCCAATGAAATGTCTTCTCGTTAATCCACGATCAAAAAATAATCCCACTGGGCCAGCAGTTCGGTCTCTTACGGAGTAAGTAGCAAACCTTTTCTATTGTATGTGCATTAAACATACAATTTATACATATATATATATATATATATATACACATATTCTACAAATCTATACTATATATTGAATCGTGTGATGGTATATGAAAGTCAAAAACAGCACAAATTCATTTATTTGAATCAATCACATGAAATCATTACGAGTAATTTCTCACATTTATATTATAATCTACTATGGCTGCAGAAACTAATTCATAGTCTTAAAATAGTTGCATTGGAATGTGTCGTTTGTAGGCAGCCGACGAACTTCTTTTTTTCACCATGCATTTTCTTCTCTACAGATCAAGACGTAGTATCAGCTCAAGTTATGTACAACCAAGTTTAGGAGCGGTACATCGCGCCTTATTTGACGATTCTTAATCGACTGTATCCATTTTGATAAAACGACTAAGTTAATATGAAGGAAAGAAATGTCTTGTATGTATGTGTAATGAACATTACGCAGATTATTCTTAGGAAAGCGAATGGAGAAATGACGAAACATGCGTACTCGATATGCGCAACTCCAATTCCCAGTTGTAATTGTATTAATAAACTTATACCACTCATTATCTTTGGTAGTCTATATGGTCTAAATGACCAATAACACTGGAACGCTCGTAAAATTTTTGTAAATTATTTTTAGAGATAAACGTTTCTTATATTTTATGCACTTTTTAGTTGTAACTTTATTGTTATGTCTTATTTTAAATGTATTAAGTTATAATGTATTAAGGTCCAATTTCACAATTCACGGTTAACTCTTAACTCAGGTCCAACTTGTTTCTCATCTCTTTCCAATTCTAGAATGAACCTCGGTTAAGAATTAATTGTGTTGTGCAACTGAGCCTAAAATATTAGAGATCACAAACTATTCTTTAATATTCAAGATAATAGAAAAAGTTCAGGCGTTCTGGTGTTAAAACGTAGAGAGAAAACTAATTAAAATAATACGGCCACGGAATCACGTAAATATCGGGTGCTTCTTGTACATTTAATATACGAATAAAATGATACCTCCTTCAGCAACTTTGATATTATATTAAAAGTATAATGTAGATATTAGATAAATGAAGTCATGATGCATTCGTACGCGTGCGTACGATCAGAAATGTAACTTATTCAAATTTAATATTATGTACTTTTGATGGTTTCGAATTTCAAAGATCATTGTATATGTTTATATGTTGAACGAGTCATTTTTTTTAGACTCTTATTGTAAATTTACGCAGAAATAAGTACTGAAAAAAATTATTTTCTCTGAGAATCCGTTTTTATAACAATCACATATAGAGGATAAGATGGTACAATTTCGAATACGGATACAATTCAGAATGAAATAAGACTTGAATCGGTGGCACGAGTGACAACATGCTTTAGGTGATCGACTCACGATTCGTGGATTCAGGTTCGATTCCACCTGTGCCCCATATACGCGATCTTTCGCGTCTAGGAGAACACCTTGCGAATAAATACTAAAACTGTGTTTTCGTTTAAAGAGCACTATTGCTCTAATATATCTTATCCGCGATATCTGAATTAAGTCATAAAGATAGAAAGGCTTAAAGTCTATGTGAGATTATGATTTGATATGAGACAAAAATTGTGAATTGACTGTGTATGGCCTCTGTTCCCGAAAAGGCATACACTGGATCAGTAGGTCAATCTTATCGCATAGTGAATCACTGTGAACCTTACAAGTATGATTGAAAAACCATACAAGAGCTTAAAGAAGAAAAAAAGAAGATATGTATCTCAATTCGAGTGCAAGTTTGACAACTTTGATCTCATTGTGTGGAGGGTATTGAAGGGAATCTCCAATCAGAAAGAATCAAACTTAAACTCGAAAATTGGATTCAAATCTTATTTCGTTTAGATTTGTGCCACATTGAAAATTGCACCACCTTATCTTACTCGATAGAGCGCGAAAAAGGATAGAGTGACTTAATACGATAAAGAATTTATTTATTTATACGTACAACATCATCACAATACTCATACCTATAAAATACAAAAGCTAACACACCACGCTTGTTGCTGACATGCACTACCTCCCCGGGAGAAAATTATACGTTATCGAAGAGTAGTGCGAGTTTTAAAGTCGGAAGTTGATATTTTGACACACGGAGAGTAAATGGCACATGGATAAATTTTTCTCTTCTCCGTAACGACTAACGACGGTGCCACAAGGGGGTCAATACTCATCGTTGTATGTTCATCGCGTGGAAGGAAAGGGGATATACAATGAAATATGAAAAGCTATGAAACTTAAAACTAATGCGGACGCGTTAATTAGTGCCTATATTATAGAAACATGCCGCTAAACGTATCCGCGTCGTTGAATATTTACAAGAAAGTACAAAACAATACTGAATCTCATCACGGGATGAATGATGCGTGATCAACGCGCGATATCTCTATCTTAGTCAGGATACAATCGAAATCCAAATATAAAACTCTACATCTTGTACGAACGTTGTTCCGTCCGTTCATTCATCCCGTTTAGTTTCTACGATAATGATGATGATTATTGGCTCTGGATTTGTTGTTAGGCGTACGAAGAACTTCTGCATAAGACATCTCTAATCGCTTCAGCCGAGCCACCTCTTCCGACGCGGTGCTAGGTTTGAAATCCTTATACTCGTAATTGTTGTGCTGCTGCTGCTGCTGTTCGTTCGAGCCACGACCGTACAGCTTCTTATCCCTTGACCGATTTGGATATACGTTGTGCTGACCGTTCCACGCACCAGAGTGCTCGTGCTCGGCGGGATTGAACGGTTTGAATCTCCTTCGGCCGCTGTTGGGTTTGGCGGGGACGAATTTCGGATTCGTCGTGGGAATAACGTCCGGTGTAGTCGACCGGTCATTGTGTTGCGCTTTCTTAACGGAGTTCTTTTTCGCTGAGGACTTCTTGCGAACGCGTAAATTAAGAGACACGTAATCCAGTCTGCAGCTTGCGTCCTTTGCGGGCTGTTGATTCGCGGAGGTATTGCTGGACTTGTCAGATTGTTTGCTGTCCTTCGGATTGGCCGGGCTGACAGATTGTACCCTGAAGACCGGTTCCGAAACCACCGACGATACCACGGAGGACATGATGCTTTGATTGTCGTCCGTTGCCTCGCTTTGCAAATCTTCTTGAAACGACGCGTCGTACTTCGTCTGCGATGTAGCGGGTTCGTCCAGCAACGGTAACTTCTCGCCCTCGTCCTTCGCTTCAGCTGCCCGTTTCAAAACGCTGAAGATCTCGCTGAAGAGCTGCCGATATTCGGGCGTCTTGCGGAACCTGCTCTCGAACGGACTGTTGTCATCGTAAATGCTGAACTTGCAGTCTTCGCCATCAGCGATGGAACATAGGAACGAGCCCGGCCTGCCATCTGTTTGCGTCGCCTTGTTGCTAGTCTCGTCCGAGAAGCCTGAAGACGATGTCTCAGCTTCGGAGAAATCTGTCGGAGTGGCCGAGAAGGGTTTCTTGCCGGCGCTCTCAGGTTTGGTTCGCGAGGCGGTCTTGATCGATTCCGGAGCAGCAGCAACCTCGGCCTCGGAAGCAGCAGGATAGAAATTGTTAAATTCTCCGGACATCTCCAACTCTTCCTGCAACGACATGCACGTCGCGGGTGTGGCGTCCTTGCGACGGGGCTGACAGTGTCTCTGCACCTCCAACAAGGCCTGATACTTCTCTACCAAGACCCGATAAGGATTCGCGCTGTCCAGTTCGTCGGTACCTTCATTTTTGCTGCATGTATCCTGTGTGCAGGTAATTAACGTGTGTGCAGTTGAAATTATGGAAATGATTATGACGATGCAATTCGGTTATGATTAATACGAAATATTTAATCGGGGAAGAGTACATACGTACGCGCGAGAAAAGCGATCAGCGTTCAAATTTTACTACAAATCTAGAATCTCATAGAAAGTCACATATAATTTTTATATTAATATAAAATGTTATACGTAACTTTTTTTACTTATTTCTTCATTTCAATTTACGTTAGTAATTATATGAAACGTTGCATAGAAATGAAGGATAACTGGAAGCAGAAAGGCAAAGGCCAGATTTATAGGATATTAAAGATTGCAAAAAGTTCTTTAAGAAGATGTGTTTTATTTAAAATCTTATAAATCTGGCACTTATACATTGTACAAAGTAATCAATTAAAATCATTCGACTAGACGCAGCGATTCCAATAACAAGAGCCATCATGCTTAGAACAACAGCACAAGCACAAATATTTACATTTACTTATCCTAGGTCCTTAATATTGCCGAGAAATGGACACAGTCTTTTTGATAATCTTTAGAAATTAAATATAGTCAATTTGCCTCAGTATGTTGGACATTATAACTGTCTTGACATTTTTAAAACTTTACGCTTGAATAAATAATCAAAATTTTTTTTTGAATAGTAAATTAATTTTTTCAGAGAGATAAAATTAGATAAAATAAGAAAACAATTTTTTAATATAACGCATATTTTTTATTAATATATTATGTACATCTATACTTGCGTCACAATTTTCAAGAAAAAATATCATTTAAAATAAAATTTATTAAACATTAACATTAATTATATGTACATATAATAGTAATTATATACAATAGTAAAGAGTTAATTTAAAAATTGTAAATGTATTAAAATCTTCATCGTTCCTGGAGGAAGTTGAGATTATCTTCAACTCATACAGCATAGACTTCCAAGGATGTCCTAAAGACATTCAGAGGACAGCCCTATGTTCTCTCAATATCTTAAGGACGTTTGCAGGATGTCTCTTGGATAAAGTATGCTGTATGGGAATTGATTAAATTTTTTTCTGCGCACATATCGAGTTAAGGAATTTTTGATTTCTGATGTCTGAACAGCCAAAGTTTAAAAACAATAAGAGACATTTTACGCAGAATAAACAACGGTATTTGAAAAGGCATGAGCAATATCGGAACAATGACATGGGCTCTAACATAGACAATTGCTTCGGAAAAATGAAATAATAACAACGGCACTTTCGTGTAAGTAAATATCCTCCATAACAACGATCTATACCATTTATGTTCTGTCTTTGGCTTGGATTTCGCAAAGTTTGTCACTTCCTAAAGCAGATAAAAGATAATTACTATTCTAGGCAAGCATAACTGATCAAAAGAAGCGACATTGTAACGACAGACTCGAGCAAAATAAGAGACTCGATTCGTGCAAACGCAGATTGATAAACAATGGTTCGCAAAAATGTTAAAAAAAAAAGAAAAGAAGAAGAAATACCTGTACAGTCAATTCGGAGTCGCGCTGATTCTCGCTGATTAAAGACTCGGCCATGCTTATGTCGTCATACTCTTCCTGATCTAGCATTATGGAAAGTTCGTCGTGCGTCGTCGTGTCCATGCCGCGCAAACAACGTCCGCACAACTGACCTCGTCTGTAAAGACATTTTCACTTGTTTCACAAATATTGCCACGTCGATATCTTTATGCCGATTTTTTTATACCGATAACGTGCAACTTTTTACGTTCCAATTCACTCTCATTGATATTAAGGTGAATTCTTCTCGCAATGTAGCTTTTAATTAGGTATATGGAGCGATCTGCAAGAAAGGGAAATGAATGAGAGAACACACGTACCTGACTTCCTCCAAGGTGCTAATCTCGTCTTGCAAACTCTTCACATCTTGCGCCTTGTTACGCCACTCCGTTAATTGTTCCTCCAATGCGCTGTTCTCCTGCAACAAGGTAGTCAGCTGCTGACTGAGTTCGGAAGCCTTCTTCTGTTCCCTAGCCCTTTGATTACGAGCATCCTGCAGTTGCGTCAGCAGTGTGGTCATCTCTTCGTCACTCGCCGCAGTAGCTTCGATTGTCTCTTGGGAGGACTTGGATGAACTCGGGACAGCTCTCTGAACAAAAGTGTCAATTCCTTTCTTGAAGACTCGAAAAGCAAAGAATAATCAAACAACACGCATGTTCAAGAAACGGGAACATAAAATGTTTTGAAAACGTCTTAGGCCAGTATTCATAGTCAGATCTTATAAAATATTTTATTCGCTTCAACACATTATTCAAGATCTTATATTCAAGACCGTCTATAAGTACAATCTTAAAAAGTCACGAAACCAATCAGAAGGCCGTATTAACGTCTTAAGACATTACTTAAGACAATCTTGAAATAAGAACGGACTGCGAATGACCACCACCTCCCGTAGACTCTTTGCAAAAAAGACGTCTTGAAGACATTTTGTCCCGATTTTGTACTTGGCGTTGTCTGGGATGTTATGTTGAAATATTGAAATCATTTGTACCTGTTTCTCGCTGCCACCTTGCGTATCCGAAGTTTCCCAATCGGTACTCTGTTGCTGTTGCAGTTGTTGTTGCTGATGTTGTTGTTGCGCGTTATTCCTCGACGGGCTCGTGGCATGCTGGCGCAGTCGTTCGGTCAGGTCGTCAATCTTCTTCTGAAGCTCCTCGCATCTTACTTCCAGATTCTCGATAGTCACGGATTGGCTGGTCGCGCACAAATCGTTATATGATTATCAGTAGGAGTCTCGTTATTGCGGAAAACGTTGCACGTTGGTATCGCAATTTCTCCGACGGCCGGACATCTGTTCGAAATGTCGCCTCGTACGGAGAAATGCGCAGCGCGTCGCCGGCGAAGTTTCTCCGGAATTTCGGGTCAATCGCGGAAAGCCAAAGCGCAAGCGGGCGTCGAGCCCGATCTGTACGAGAAGCGCACGTTGACCCCGAAATCCCAGACAGAATTACATGTATATATCGTTAATAATAGAAAAGCTCATTGTTGGGAGAAATAGATTCCATTAGGGAGATTAGAATGGTGTTAAATAGGAAAATAATACTTAATAACTTTCCATGAACTTTAATTGTATCAGACGATGCATGAATTATGCATTTAGAAAGGTGAGCTTAGAACGGTTCACGTAGCCAATACAATACGAAGCTAACAAGATATAATAACAGATCTCTCGTTAGGCCGGCACTTTTCCGCTTATACTTCTAATATAATCTTATCTGGAATATCAAGCGGTACATTTCTTTCGAATGAGAATGCCAATTTTTCTTTCTTCTTTTTTTTTTTGTTCCCCTCCCTATTCGAAAATCATTTCGCCAATCGAAGAAATGGCGTGAAAATAAAAAGAGGGAAGGAAAGACAACGCCTTACCTTTTGATCAGTTTCTTATCGCTCGTGTTCTCGATCACCAGGTGATGATTCGCACGTTCCAGATCTTGCACGCTAACTTCCAGCTGTTCGTAGACTTTCAGGCGCGTATTGTTCACCTCCCTCAGGGCGGCAATCTGCTTTTTCATGTACTGCGGAACGAACAAATAACACGCGTATTCATCGGGCAGTGCAATTTCGAGGTTGAGCAACTCCGCAAATCGTTATTCGACTCGAATTTTCTTACTGTTACCCCCGCGATTGTCGCTATTCAAGTCTTATACGTAACAAAAATGCCATACGGAAGACGCGGAAGCTACTAGTAAAATAATAAGAAAGTAAGTATCGAATTATCAGAAAGTAAATACCGAAGCGTAACCGGTTTGCCGTGGGCAACAATTAGAATCATTCAAACAATTACTCGCGGAAAAATGTATAGTAACCTCGATTTCTTGCGTCTGCTCCTCCTCAGTAGCTTGGTGCAGCTTGATGATGTTCTCCAGCTCCTTATTCCGTTCCAGGAGGGTCTTACCGAGCTCCGCCGCCAACTGTAGATCTGCACAAAACGTGAGGCGTATTTTTGCAATGAACGCTTCCTTGCACGAGCGCATTTCTTGTTTTTAATCTATCCGGATTGAATCTCTGATAGGTACGCGCCGGGAAGAGAGAATCGAAGCGTGAACGATGATTTCAGTTCCGGATCATCGTAACCTGAACCTGAGGGGATCTACGCGAGGAATATCTACGTTGGCGGAATCGAAATCGGCGAAACTTCCCGGGCTCGCTTCGAATGATAATTATGCAGCCTGCCGCGAGCGACGGTTACAGGTTGCAGGTTGCTGGTTCACGCTCGCGGCACTCCCTCATTCTGACACCGGCTAGGGCCAAGGACCTTCTCGCGGTGAGCAAACGACCGAGCGCTACCGTTTCGCAGTACTCGGTGCTCGGTGTCGCGATGGAACAACGTGACCCGCGCCAAGTTCACGGGCGGAATTCTCATTTTCTTTAATTGACTTTTAAATGCCACGGAGCACAGCGTAAAACTGTCGCAAAGAAAAAAAAACTGTTTCCACCTACAGATTCCAGCAATGAACTGAATATCTGCGCGATAAAACAGATACATACGGAAAGAATTATTTTGCTCAAGTATCTAAATATTTAGTTAGATATATAGAGATCTGAAAATAATTTTGTTGAACCAAAATAATCATCAATGAAAATAATTATGTAGGAATTTCAAGACGATAAATAATGCCGCACAAGTAGTTTCGACATTTTAGCAACCAGCTTGAACAGCTCTACATAATTATTTTGACGGTGCGACAAAGTTATTTTCAGGTCTGTACTTATATAGCTTATAAAGTTTGTAGATGCTTCAACAAAATCGTCCTTTCTATCGGTATATGTTTGTAGATCTTTTTGGTGGAGTGGAGATGCCTTTTCTATTATTTTTACACACTTAAAGAAATATAGTAATAACAATATTATATAGATGACAACTGTACAAGTTTTGTACGTAGTTTTGTACATAGAATTAATGTATACAGTTATTGCAATTAGGAAATAGTTTATTCGACAATGTAAATTAATTCTACATAATAATCGAAAATTGTTATGTATTAGTTATTGTTATACTCATATAGTTGCCGTCTGCTTTTCTCTAAGTATACGTTCTTCGATCACAACAGTTATAATTCGACACACGATAAAGATCGCAAATAATCTACCACCTCTCCCTCTCTCTAACGTTATCACTTCTTTCATAATAAACACCATCCTCTTGATCACAACAACACCACACATTATGGCACCGTCGATCGTCCCCGCACAGATTCCCCAATCATCTCCTCTTACGTCCGCGCTTACTTACTACTTTCGGAGGAGGATCCCTTAAGACTCTTAAGGTACGCGAGCTCGATAGAATAATCCCAGCCTTCTAACGAGTTGGTCTGGGTCTGCGGGTCCCAGACCATGTCCACGCTCTGCCCGCTCATGGCTCGCTCGTGGGATGGAACTTGCCGCAGTTCCCGTCGTGTGTTACCCTTTCTGACACACAACCGGTTCCGTCGGAGGCAGCCGGTCTTCTGTGGCTCTGTGGTAGCCAGCTCGATCGAAACGTCGTGTGCCCACCGAGCGGTAATCCAACAGCTCCTTCCTTTCTCGCGTTCGTCTCCCTCCCCTCTCCTTTCTTCAGGCCCCGACTTTTGCCCCCGTCTCCCCACATCGTCAATATCGTCGTTTCGATCAAGAAGGGGTCTCACTTCGCTACCCGGTACCACTTTCCAGCAGTTCTGAATTTTCGGGTAAGCGCCGAGGCGCAATGACACTTGGGCTGAGCTTGGGCCCCGCTGAAACGGGAGGAACATTAACCTTTGAGAGAGTAGCGCTAAATCTATCCTAAAGAAAAATGTTCAGTCTCTGATTATTCCGACGAGTAACGATAAATCAAATCTTTCGTCGTTCTCTCTCTCTCTCTCTCTCTCTCTCTCTCTCTCTCTCTCTCGGAAGCACTTAGATCCCCTAAGTGCTCTTTCAGTACTCTCACTCCGGAGTCCTCATCCTTTCCCTTCTGCCTTTCTACGTGGCTCGTTCCCGTCATTTGCGGGATGATCCGGCGCGATAAGAGAAGGTGTCCCACTTCTGAGATCTTTCATCGCGCGCACATATCTTCCCACCGAGGGAAATGGGGGCTGTAGGTTGACGAGGCAGGGTGATCTGACAGGTGATGAATGAGAAAAATCGTCGTGCTCGTCGCTCGCTTGAAAATTCGTATAAATTGTGTAAGCTCACTTATATACAGTATTTGCAGATGGATCTTATATTTGAGATCGTCTTAAGTTACACTCTTAACGTGTCGTGAATCAATCAGAGGCCGGTATTTGTAGTCTTATATTTAAGACCGCCTTAAGAACCCAAGTCGAAATTTTGCTCCTACTTTACTCCTTAGTTTTAAGATATACAGACTTTAAAGATGGCGTACGTAGACTCTAGAGATTTATAATAGATTCTAATCTAATGAATTGAGCTCCTAAATGTTGAGCCTGTAAATGGCAGTTATTGCAAGATTTCCTATTTTTAAGTTTAAAAGAAGTTTTCTAAATACGAGCTGTAAGTTAAGTAAATTTATTAAAAGAGGCCCTATATTTATTCAAGTCAATCAAAACAGGTTTATAAGATTTAATTGAGACTGAAAGAGATTCGAAGTAGGAAAAATTTCGAGTCGGGAGTATTTCTCAAGATGTCATGAACCAATCAGAGAACCGTATTATCATCTTAAAACGTTACTTGAGACTATCTCAAAATAAGAATGGATTATAAATACCGCTAGAGAAACGCCTTCGCATATTCGCATTTTCCACCGACGTTCGGATGAACAAGACGTAAACGTCAACAATGCGCTTCGCTAACAACAGCTCGAAGGATGACGAGCAAGTTTTTTCGTTAAGACTAATTATCGTGGTCATTCCATTGTTTCGAAGCTGTAATATTAATTAATCCGGTGCTACCAGACGAATAACAGCGATTAAGCCGCGCCGTTCCTGCGTATCAATGTTTAGTTACGTTACGTTAATAGTCGACAAAACCTTGATCCACTTGGACATAATGGCGAATGCAACAATCGGCAACGCGTAGCATGTAAAAGCTTTATCGGATGTCGTTTGACACGTTCACTGTCCACGGTGAACGTTGAAATAGTAGAATAAACATAAATATTCATACGCGTTTATATAGCTTTCCCCGTATATCGTCTGGGGAACTCGTTCTATAGAAAGGATTGTTGAACAGTGTTTGAAACGTTGCAAAAAGTGCACGAGAATTTGCAGAATAATTCGAGGATGGCATCTAACTCGTACATTTCACGAACATTCGTGACAGATCGGACAATCTCACTTTACCGGAGTTCGTGAAATCTTTTATACATTTCGTATCCTGTCTGATTGCTTTAGAACGAATCCAACTCCTATTGTTTCTAATGAACCCTCAATCAGATTCAACCTGACGTTGCGACGACCTCCGAAAACATCGGCCCAGTGCCCTCGTTACTCGCACAATCACGAGAGGCGGACATTACCTGCCGTATCGCGATCAACAAGTCAAAAAAAAAAAAACAAGAAAAAGGAAATTCCATTCTTTCGCTTTTGACGTTTCGCCGCTATGTCAGTTTAATGACACGGTCAGTGGTAAACCAACCGTTACGAGGAGGAATCGCGCGAACGATATACGAGGTAATGTAGGTAGGTATATCAAAGAAGAAGTAAACGAAGATGATAAATTTCCGACGTGTTCCGTTGACCCTTAAGCCTCAGCCTATTAGCAACAAAAGCCGTTCTCGCGTAGGAAACGCATAATGCAGCTCGTATGCATATGTGCGGGAAAAGTGGTACGCGAGAAATCGATGAGTTTGTCCAGAAAACGCTTCGCTTCGTCCTTCTTCGTTGCTTTACGGAAATAGTCATCTCACTGCAAATGCAGATTCGCATACAGAGAATAATGTAAAGTACTCTCTAAATTCTTTGCAGTAGAATCTCACTCGGAAGAGTGGAAACTGAGATAGCTTTGAAGAAGAGTGGCTCAATTTTTAATCTTCAAGAGTGAGAGGTTTCACTTTTTTAATAATGATAATTCACTCTGAAAGTTTTAGGGTACGATTCACACAACGCTGCAAATATTTCGTTAGCTGAGAAGGAAGATTTTTATAAATTGGTCAAAGAATGCTTCGAAGCATTTGCAGCGTGAAGAGAATCGCACCATACAATATGCGTTGGATTCTAGTAAATTTTACGGAATTGGCAGGTCTATGTACAGAGGGCCAATTTACGTAAAGCTCATTTTTCTAGTAAATAAACGATTGCTATACAGTCGTGCTGTAAGGTACTTTTACATTTCGTAAAATAAATCTATATAAATATACCATATATCTCTCAATAGAATTCACTTTATGAATACCTTTTGCCTTAGTGCTGATAAAATTTACTTTACTGCGCGATAAAAATCTTGTATAAAATACAAGTATATAAAATCTTGAAAGTTGTTCATGCCTGAGAATAGTATGATTTACTATAAGATAATAATCACTTGAATGGATTTACTACAATTGTATTATAATGTACTTCGCACTTTCGGTATTTTTACTTTCAGAGACAAGTAGAATATTGTCGTAAGTTTCGCAAAAATATAGCCAGAATATTTTTACTATTACAGTTTTGTAAGATAAAAATTACGCAAGCAACTTTTTCTTCGTGCGAAGTCGCAGCAGAATCCAATTAAGCTCATCGTTCACGTCGTTACGTTCGCGAGATATCATTACCAGAAATGATTGGATAAGGAGAGCCAACTTACGGGTAACAAGTATCATTCGCCGATCATTCGTCGCGATTAACCCCCATGCAGTCCTCGTACCTCTGTGCTGGGAACCCCCGCGATAATAATGATCCTCGATTCGCTTCTGGTGAAAGTCTCACTTTTACGCCGGCTGGAGAGATTGCGCAATAGTATTAATATTTTTCTTTTTTCTTTCTTTCTTTTCGACGCCGCGGCGAGTTTACGCGGACGTGG